TTTTTTATTTTATTTTTTTTCAGTAAACCTATTTTCCCTACCCTGTGGTTTCCTTTCTGGGTTTCAACTACTATCAGATCTGTCATTGACCTAAAAAGAACTTCAATGTGTTGGAAAAGCATGCTTCAAGCAGCTATAATAAATCTCAAATTGATATTTATGAAGTTAACTTTCTCTCACCCAGAATCTGATCATATAGTATATGGATGTCACTCATCTTAGAATTAGGTCGTGTTAGAACCAAAAGGGTCTGTCCATAAAGATTAGCTAAACCACCCTCCTGTTTTTTACTGATAAATCTGAGACCTGAAAGAGTGACATTCTTAGGGTATCTGACACTCCTACATAGGCAGCAGAAGCCAGACTTGAAGCCAAAACTTCTTTCTGCTGGATTCCATTGTGTCCCACAGCCTTTCTTCTTTGTTAGTCTGTCTTTGCAAAGTTTGATGTGGCAACTACAGAGTCTGGATGGAGGTTAAGAAAAGTCAGTAGGCTCGGAGTGCCTGGGTGGTTCAGTCGGTTAAGCACCCGACTTCGGCTCAGGTCGTGATCTCATGGGTCATGGGTTCGAACCCCGCACTGGGCTCTGTGCTGACAGCTAGCTCAGAGCCTGGAGCCTGCTTCAGATTCTGTATCTCCCTCTCTCTGACCCTCCCCTCCTCACACTGTCGCTGTCTCTCTCTCTCTCTCTCTCTCTCTCTCTCTCTCAGAAATAAATAAAAACATTTAAAAAAAGAAAAAGAAGTCAAAACTGATCCCCTTCACTACCTGTTAGTACGGCCACCTAACGCTGCCATCTACAGATGAGGTTTGGCTCTTGGGATTATTTCTGGTCTCTCTTAACGAACCCCAGATCCCCAAATACAGCCAGCTTGCAGCTCTGTCACAGCGAGGCCCAGTCATTTGAACCGGGCAGGCTGACAGTGCCGCACCCTCCCTCAAGTCCTCTTCGTCGTCGTCTAAAGTGGTCTGTGCTGGGCTAGGGCCACGCATCCCACTGCACCCAAGACCCTACCTCTGCCCTTTACTCACTGGATCAGCTTAGGTGAGCTATTGATATTCTTTAGGCCTCAACTGCTCCAGGTAGAAAATGAAGGTAATCATTTAATCATTTCCAGAGGACCTTGTACTGAATACATTTGTAAACTGTAAAGAAAGTACTTAGCAAACTAGTTACTATTACTGTTATTCTTAACCTGAAGGGTGATGAGCGCAAAGCAGCTAATAACAATTTAAGCAGCATACTCACAGCCTGGGAATCAACCTCAATTTAACATTCAGTTCTGGCCTCTTTGGCAGCAAACACAGAACAGAAAATATTGTGATCGGGATTGACACTGCATCAGGCCTTACCAGTACAAAGTGCTTGGCACTGTCTACTGTTAGAATGTTCCCTTTGTTTTGAATGTTGTATCTCTTCTGTGATTTTCTGTGTGTGAGTGTGAGCACACTAAATTCAGGGTAATTATCCTATTATTGACAACACAGTAGACTTGAGGAGTACTTATTGAATGTGTGTTGAGTGACTAATATAGAATTTATACACAGTTATGGAAACACGGATTATGTGTTGATTCACATGGCAGATTCAGACTATATTAAGGGTCAGGACTCTGACTTTGTGTCATTTCCCCCTGCTTTTTTCTGACATTGTCTTACCTAGCTCAATAATAAGCCCGTGTAGCTTGAGGTTGTCCATTTGGTGGACTGAGGTGTCTCGCTCACCATTTCTCCATCATGCTCTGATGTTCTCCTGGCTTTCTTTACCCCTTCCAGCCCCAAGAGAAGAGCATAATTGAAAGGCAAAGATAAAATCACTATAGGTGCACCTGGGTGGCTCAGTCGGTTAAGCACCCAACTTCGGCTCATTATCTCACAGTTCGTGGGTTCGAGCCGTGTGTCAGGCTCTGGGCTGACAGCCAGCTCAGAGCCTGGAGCCTGTTTCAGATTCTGTGTCTCCCTCTCTCTCTGACCGTCCCCTGCTCACGCTGTCTCTCTCGCTCTCTCAGAAATAAAACATTAAAAAAATTTTTTTTAATTTAATAAAAGGATAAAATCACAAACTAACCTGTCATCATTTTCACCTTCCTTTTCCAAGGCAGGAACTAAAAGTAAATATAAAGAAAAAAAGAGCATAGCTTCAATCTCTGGCTTCCTTGTTCCCCTGTGAATGTATCAAAGGCACCTGCTAATGTCTCTACTGTCCTGAGCAGGGCTCCTTTAGAAAAGTAAAACCCTATACAGGTTGATACCCAGGTAGCACATGGCCAGGCAAGAGTAGACAGTGTGTGTGCTTGATGTGCCCTCACAACAACCAAAGAGCAGAAGTGAGAAGTTTCAGAAGTCACAGGAGAGAGTCTCCCATTCTTCCCCATTCCTTTATCACCCTCTCACCTCTGATCCCAGAGCAGAATCCCACAGACTCCTCCTGCCAGGTGGGTGGCCTCAGCGAACACCCTCTCTCTGGATGCTTCATCACTCAGCATCTCCCTGCCACTCAGAAGGAAGAGTGACACATGTTCCACCCACCTTTCCATTGGAAATTCAAAGCAGCTGCGTCTCACAGCAGCTCTCTTCCTGAGAACTAAGAAACCTTCCTTCTCCACCTTCACGAAGGTCTCCCTGCCCAAGTCTCCCTCCCGTGGTCTGCTGGGACAGGAGTTAACATAGTGGCTGCTTTCTTCGGTCTGTCATCCCGGGGGCCATGGCAGTAGATCTGCAGAATTGGCAGATCACTAAATAGTTTACAGTGCCCCACCCAGCAGGGCATGGTCGCCGTAGAGAATGGATGGAAAATATCCCCTTGCTATAACTGGGTTCAACCCTGTGGCTTAACACCATCTTATTTGGCAATCTTTTTCTCTTGACATATTTAGTAATCACTCTAAGGGAGATTTATTAGACTGCTCATAGGAACAAACAATGCACTAAATATTACACATATGCATGCTTTCAATACCACTCCTTTTCTAGCCTATTCTGAATCTGCAAAGTGTGTCTTTTAACAGTTATCAAAACTCTCTCTTGTCTTTAAAGTTCTCTTGGTTCTTCTCTCCCCAAAATAACTTTATAGTTGGGATTTTTTTGTAGTTGGAAGTTCTTTTAATCAAAATTCACTGGGCCATGCTTAGAGAAAGAAGAGTGGATTAAAAGACACACTCACAGATTAAAATCATGTAAGACATTTTGCTCCTCATTAATCCCAAAGCATCAAAACAAAAATTTAGCTAGAGTTTTGTAAAAATAATCTCTTAGTTATTTCTGGGAGATTGTGTGTGTGTGTGTGTGTGTGTGTGTGTGTGTGTCTGTCTGTCTGTAGGAAAGAACTCAAAATATTTCGGCCAAACGTCATACGATGAAGTGTTTCCCAGCCTGAAGGGTGGTGCCCACAAGGAGATGTGGAGAGGGTACACTGAGAATCAGGGTTAACAACTCATGCCCTGTGCTAACTAAAAGACGGACAGCTGGTGCCCCTCTGACATTTTCCAAGAGCATAATCAATATCCCACACACCCTGGCACGTGCACAGCAGAATGTCTTCACAAATAATCCATCTAGAGCAGATTTAAGAGAAAATATATCAGGGTCATGGAGATGCTCAGAAGGTTATGAGTTATAGTGGCACAGTCACAGTGTGGCAATTGGATGTTAAACTTTATTCCCTTTACATACAAAAAGTTTTTCTTCATCCATTAGATACTCAGTGGCTCCCTCTCTTCTTGAGAGATCCCACTCATTGCTAGGCACAGGCACACTCATCTACCTAACACTCCATTACATGTCCACCACTGGCCTCATTTTACAGACTGGGCACATTTCACAAAGAACAAGCCTTGGACTGTAGAGTACGCATACTCCTACATACGTGAACTTGAGCACTTGGGATTTTTTAGGGGTTGGGCAGCGAAAGCATAAATGTGGCGATTCGTTGCTAGCAAGTACCTTGGTTCAACCGCCCTCCAGCATTGTTAACCTAGAGGTGTGGGGCGAGGGGCTGGGAGCTGGCGTTCTGGAGACAGACTGCCCAGGCTAGCCAAGCGTCCTCTCATACTGTGCGTGTGACCTTGGGCAAGTAACTGTGTCTCAGTTTCCTCATCTGTAAAATGAGACTGGGACTTGTACCTACTTGATAGTTTTCTGTAAGGGTTAAATGAGTCCATCTGTGTAAAGGGCCTAGAACTATGCCTGGCTAGAGTAGGAGCCATTAAATGAATGCTCATCTTCCCAGTATCCGCTTCGATCACAGGTGGATAGAGCATGACGTGGCCAGTGTGACTTGGGGTGAGGCGCGCTGAATAAGTCCCACTGTACTCCTTTAGCATGACTGCCCTGTGTCCCAGCCAGTCTCCTGCAGTTACATTTCCCTGCCTTTGCATGTAAGCCTACAGGGAACACCAGAGAATATGAGGTCCCTCAAGGTGAACCTCTCATCTTTTATGGCACTCAGGGACTGAGTTGGATGGGGAAATCATTTGGCTCCCCTACCAATTGGCAGCAAGGGAGGGGCCTACGGCGGACCTCTGCACTTGAAGCCATGCCTCATCACACCGTACCTTACATCTTCAAGGCAGTGGACATACATGAGATTTTTCAGGCATCACAGACCAATTGAGTCCCAAATAACAGAACGTGTAGAAAGAATGCTGGTGCAGTAACCCAGCACATCTCAAACTGTACCTTTATCAGAATCCTCTGGAGAACCTGCAAAAACCCAGATTCCCAGGCTGCACCCCAGAGATTCTGATCTCCTAGGTCTGAGGTGGAGCCTGACAGTTTTCATCTCTGGTAAGTTCCCAGGTGGTGCTGCTGCTGTTGGTTTTCAATCATTACTACCTATCTCTAATGTAAGGTTATAACATTTAATGTGAACTCTTTAGCTTAGAGATCATGTGAGAGCCTCCCCACCCCACAGAGAGATACATGAATCCATAGAGCCGATGCCATGCACTAATGCCACATTTTGGGTAATAAACACTGACTTTCATTTTCTTCCCCCATAGTTGCATGCTGCTGTGACCAGGATCCAGGTCCCAAGGCCTGGTTTTAATTACACGTTCGCCCACATATGTATCCTGAATAATGATAAGACTTGCATCGTGGATGACATAGTGCATGTTCTGGAGGAGCTAAAGAATGCTCGGGCCACCAACCGGACCAATTTTGCTATCACCTACCCAATCACTCACTTAAAGGACGGGAGGGCGGTGTACAACGGACACCAGCTTGGAGGCGTCACTGTGCACAGCAAGGACCGGGTCAAGTCCGCAGAGGCTGTCCAGCTCACCTACTACCTTCAGTCAATCAACAGTCTCAACGACATGGTGGCTGAGAGGTGGGAGTCCAGCTTCTGCGACACTGTCCGGCTGTTCCAGAAATCCAACAGCAAAGTCAAAATGTACCCTTACACGTCCTCCTCACTGAGGGAAGATTTCCAGAAGACCAGCCGTGTATCAGAACGTTACCTGGTCACCAGCCTGATCCTGGTGGTCACCATGGCCATCCTGTGCTGCTCTATGCAGGACTGCGTCCGCAGCAAACCCTGGCTAGGCCTGCTTGGGTTGGTGACCATAACCCTGGCCACTCTCACTGCAGCCGGGATCATCAATCTTACTGGTGGGAAATACAATTCCACCTTCCTGGGAGTCCCTTTCGTCATGCTAGGTAATTACTGCCCTTCATTTTTTTATTTCCTCCTGCTGTGTGGTGCTGAGTGGGTTCCTAGAAGGCAAGGAGTAGCCATCTAACAACTCTGTTTCATTAGAGGGTCTTCCTTTTGCTAACATGTCCTGGGACCAAATCTATAATGCACTGGCCATCCGAAAGGGAAAACCTTATCTGGTAAATAGGCCAGAAGTCCAAAGTCCTGGGTCCTAGCAATAGTCATCCATTAAGTAGCTGTATGACATTTAGCAGATATTAATCTTCTCTGGTGCCCCGGTGTCTTAGGTGGGGCTTCCCCAGAAGCAGAGCTGAGACAAGGATTTAGATATAAGTAGCTTACTTGGGAAGTGAGCCCAGGAAGCCCCCGGTGGGAGAGAAGACCATTCAGGCTATGTTAACGGGCAGGTTACTGCTTTAGGCACCTGTGGCTCAATCCCAATGGGGACCTTTGGGAGACGTAACAGAAAACACCTCAGAGAGTTGTCCTTGAGGGGTGAGGAAGCTGCCACCTGGGCTACGTACCCAGAAAGCCTGTGTCTGATTCACTGAGGGCTCTCCCTGAGAAAGAGCACATTTCCGCAGCTGGAAAAATCCCTCAGGTGAATGGTATTATAGTAAGAAGTCTTCAGTGAGCTCAGGAATAGGGAATGGAAGGGCATGTGGGTTGGGCACTGACAGTGTCTGCTACCCTCAGTTTCCCCACGCTATGAATGGAGTGGATGTGAACATCATAGAAGGGGACATGATAAGTGTACAGGAACCCTGAAAGCAACAAGCAAGACCTAAGTAAGAAGGGATCTTTTTTTCCTACCCTTGCTATCAACTCAGGAGAATGTTTGAAAATGGTGGTGTGAGAATCCCAGCACATTCTCTCTTGGGGGCTGCAAGACAGAGATCATGGTCAAAACAAAGCCACAGTGGTTATAATATCACATCGGTTGCTCTGTTCATTTGGTATGGAGGGTGGCTGATGGCAGGGCTCTTGAGGGCCAAGGGCTCCAGGACTTAGCTTCTCCATTCTCTGTGGCAGGCTCTCGTCCATTCCTTTAGCAAAAGTAAAGTGTCATCTGGAATCAGACACTGACATGACACATGAAGTGGCATGTTTCACTGAATGAGAAAGAACTCTGCTCGAGTCTGTAAGAATGCCTAATGCCCTGTGTGGGGGAAGCAGAAAGAAAGGGGAGAATTTACTCGGGAAATTTCAGCTGTATTACAGTCAAATGACAAGCAGGGTGGCGGGGCTGCGAGGTCCTGGGTTGACGTGCTGCGTTGGGTGCTCTGAGGCCTAAGGGACGTCAGGCCTGGGCAGTCAAAACATATAGGGTGGCTCCTGGGCAAGAGGGCACCGCGGAGAGCGAGTGAGCTGCCCATCTACAGGTGGAACGCTACAGAGAAGGGGGCTGCTGTACTTGCTCCTGAATTTGGGCTGTTAAGGAGGCAGCATAACTCGCCTCGTTAACCCCTAGTCCATATGCACGGATGCCGGCATCCTCGGCGGTTCCGTGAGGACTGAATGCGACCGGGTATCAGCTTCCAAGGAGGCCTGGGTCAAGGTTTCTTTAAGTTAAGATGTTTTGCTTATGATTAGGCCCATGCTTGGGTTTTATTTTTTTAACTTTTCATTTTAAAAAATGTGGTGTTTTTTGTTTTGATTGTTTTGAAAGAGGAAGAGAGACAGGAATAAGAAAAGAGTGGGGGGAACTGAAGGGAGACCGTGGGTTTTGAAGGTAAAGAAAAAGAGAATGTCAGAGCTAGAAAAAGGACTACTGGCCTTGGTTTTATGACACCACAAGGTGTGACTAGTGGGCCCAGAGGATGATCCAGGATTTAAACTTCCTAAAAACTAACTGCATTAAGTAAAATAAAATTTAAATATTTAGGGCTTCTTAAAATTAGTTTGTAAATAAAATAACATAGCAATAGGGGCCCCTGGGTGGCTCAGGCGGTAAAGCATCCAACTTTTGATTTTGGCTCAGGTCATGATCTCACAGTTTGTGAGTTCGAGCCCTACATCGGGCTCTGTGTGGACAGTACATATGTAGCCTTCTTGGGATCCTCTCTCTCCCCCTCTCTCTCACACTTGCTCGCTTGCTTTTGCTGTCTCTCTCTCAAAATAAACAAACATTAATTTAATAAACAATAGTCAAAACTCCTTAAAATCAATTTCACCAAGTAAAATGAAACTGAATATTCCAAACTTCTCCTAATAAATTTTATTAAATAAAAGAGATTATGATATTTAAGATTTCTTAAAACTAATTTTGGTACTTCTTAAAGAAGTTTTAAATATTGTAAGCAAAAGTTGGCACAAAAAGGAATATAGCAGCTAGTACTGGTGCAGGGAGGGATGTAAGAGATGGAAAGATTCTGTGAGCTGAGAAGAGGCTTGAGAAAACAAATCCAGCAACTGGAGTGCCACAACTCCACAGAGACTGAGTATCACTGAACTGTACGTCAGAGTTCAGTTCACAAAAGTCTGGCATTTGCGGTGAAAGAGACCAAGCACTGCAGGTACCCAATACTCCCTTGTTGGCAATTTGTGAAGAGTGTTACATGCATTGATTTGATGGCGGTTTTCCCTGCTGACAGTCGGTATGCAACCTTTCTGTACATTTTCAGCCCAAAGACATCTCACATTACTTAGTCACAACATGAAAGGAAGCTATGCATTTTAGTAGCTAAGGCCCATTTGCAATAAATACTTTGCACCACGTAATGGGTGCTTCACATGCTCATAAAGCCAACAGTGCCTGGATTTAGGATGGTTACCCTTCTGTACTGCACAGATAAACTCTTCATTCTCAGAATTCGATTGTAAAATGAAATACAGGCAAGGGCATGTTTGCAAATGTTCCATTTAGGGCCAGTGTTTAATTCTGGATTTTTGACGACCAGTCCTAAAATGCCAATAAATACTTCAAATGACCAAGGAGAAATGCAGTGCTAAGGGTTTTTGCACTAGGAGTCAATAAGCTGTTTGTCCTGTTTTAAAATCTGCCTGTCTATACCATAAAATGGCTATGCTTAAGTTAAGATTTAAGCAAAACTTCTTGATTCTCTGTTATATAAATACAATATCAAATAAAAATTTAAAACTACATGGCCTCACTTAGAAGGAAAAGTATCTTATACAACATCTCTAGTATACAGACATTTCCTTGGCCAACAACAGGTCTATAATGCAATAAACATTACATTTAAAATTCAACAAACTAAACATTCTCAGTGTGATGCCGGTCACATAAGGCCAGATCCAGCCAAATGCCAAAATGGCAGAAGATTTAGAATGGAAAATTTTAAGACCACGTGTGTCAAGCAGTATTAACCTGACAAAATTCCAGAATAGGAAAGAATTTGGATAAACTCTGAGAGTTCACCATAATGGGATGTGACTGTGTGATTCTAGCCAAGACGATACGTGACATCTCTGGCAATAAGAATATATCCTACACAGATGAATCATTTTGGCAATGATGTAAGCATAGATACATCATGATTTAGAATGTTTTTAATCAGTGTCATGCATATTAGACAATCCCACTTCTGCCAAAACCCTTGTCCATATGAGTCACATCAGTATATTTAGAGCTGAAATCCTTAACGGTCTACAGCATTATAAATGCCCATTGACATTTTTTAGTTACTATAAACTTGAAGAAGAGTTTATTTCATCCCTACCCCTTCTGCATAAAGTAATATCCTTTCTTTCCAAATTATATTAACGCCAGGTACAGAGGTACTTGAACTGCCATTTGTAAACATATGACACTCATCATTTTAATCCTTTATAGAACTTCCTTTAAAGGATGAGAATTTACACCATTGTCCTACAGTTGGCTATGGTTTCAGAAACTGGCATAGATTTTTTGCATGCAAGCTCTCCTTACAGGCCTACTACTTCCACAGCTTTCCTGGCCAGATGCAAATCAGGAAGGGAATGGAATCTGGAGAATCTTTGGGATTTTGAGACAGTCAAATGCCACATCCAGGGTACCCTCTTCCTTCTGACTTATCAAGCCAGGCCAATCAAATTCGAGGATGGGAAGGGAAGAAAGGACGTAATTAAGTGCTAGGAGGAGAATAATAGCAGGCATGTTTGGTTCCTTTCAGGTATAGTCTAAGATTATCTGTATTTAGCAGAAACCAGAAGATCAGGTTCAATTCTCTAAGAATTCATTCTCACTTGATGCCACCTGGATTATGGTGTGGTATTGCAGTATACGAAGCTCAGGCTTCTAAAGAGGTAAAAGTTCTTGGGCAGGAAATTGAGTTTGGAGAAATCAGAATTCCTAATTATTTTTGCTCTAAACTGAAGCAAACCTGAAAGGTTTGAGTATTCTGATATATTTCCTTTTATTTTCCTTAAGGTGGGGCTCAAAGCTCATGTCACATGCTTTACTGTCTGAGCCAGCCAGGTGCCCCATTCTGGTATATTTCTAAAGTCATGAGACAACATGGGGGGGAGGGAATCAGCCAAATAATAAAGTCCAAACCATATGAAATTGCCACTAGACAGCTGTTTTTTATCTCAAAACTGGTACCAATATATAACCATTTTTTTTTAACTCCAAAGTGATCATTTCTCATAGTTCAACCCAATACATTAATGTAGAGGTCCATTATTTGCAACAATATGACAATGTACATGATGGAGTAGAATACTGTGGAAATACTCTGCTTGGATATAAATCATGAACTGGTTCAGTAATTTCTAGGGGAAATAAACCTGGTTTTATTAAGGGTTTAATCTTGCCCAGTTTTGTTAACATCTGATTAAGAGAGTAATTACATAAAATATTTTCAAAGTTTTTCCCCTGAGTATCTTTTTATAATGCATGATGGGTCATCTGGGGATTAATTTACAAGGAGATTGTGTAATCTAGGTTTGTGGGTAGTTCTCACCCTTTTATTATGCTCTACCAACCGTAGTACAGTATGGGGTAGTTGAGAAGAAATAGGTTTGGGGAGATGGAACAAATCACGTTTTATTGTTCTCT